CGCCATCTTTGGCGATTTTTAATTCTTATTTGGCTAAGCCAAATGACTTGAAAATTGAGAGGCATGTACCTCATGTCATAGAGAACTCATAAAAAAAAATTCAGAAAAAAAAAATTATTTTTAGGCCCCGAAATAATTTTTTGCGGGGGCCGAACGCCATCCGGTTCAGGCCCTGTACGGGACCCCGAACGTCCGAACGTACGGAGGTCCGCCCGGGGGCCTCCGTACGTATGGGCTGGTAACCCTGTTTGTGACAATATATTCTTATTTTGTAATTTTAAAATTGGTAAGGAATTTCAATGTGACCCTCAGGCAAAAGTTGTTCAGTTTATTTTTGTGCATCACATCATATTTTCTCCGGATTTTTTTGGGGTTTTTTTTTTGTTTTGTTCTTTTTGCTGGGCCCTTCGCTGATCCTCTCATGGCCTGGTAGTACAGATAAATAGGTTGAAAACTTGAAATAAAAAAGAAAACATTCTGGCACTTGCGTAAAAAAAAAAAGAAAAAAAAAGTGTCAGCTGGAGTTGAGATCCGATTTGTGCAGGTATATAATTGTCAGCATGTCCCAATACGGCAGTTGCGTTAAAAATATAAAAAAAATGAACCCCAAAAAAAAAAAAAAATGGACAAAAGTATTGCGAAGTCGAACTAACCTACTAAATCTTTAGGTGAAATAGTATTTTATATATATATCTGTTTGTGACGATATATATATATATGTTCAGCCTCCTGATGAGTCGGTGAAACTCCGACGAAACAGTTTGTCACAGCCCCTCGTTTGTTGTCCTCTTCTCTCTCTCTGCCTACGGTTTACCGGGCAGTTCTGTTTGTGACGATATATATAAAGACGAGAGGCTGAGGCCTTCATAGATCGACAGGCATCAGAGAGTCTTTCCCGAACCGTATGTTCAACGTTTCCATTTATGAAGAAACGCATTTGCAGACACTGTATGTGCGAGTTCCGGTGAGAGCTGGAAAAAAAAAAAAGAAAAAAAAAAAAAGGTATAGGAAAGAAAAAAAAAGAAAAGCTTGAGAATCTTTGTTGATCAGTCCGAAAAGTTAGGAAGAAAACGAAGACGCGGTGCTGGCCGAAATGCCTGGCGGCACCAGCCAGAAGAAAACAAAAACGCGGTGCTGGCAGGCCGGCAAAGCTTGGAAGGGGGGGG